TGAAGCTTGTCGCGGTTGTGCAGGCAATCGATAATGCATCACTTAAAGACAATTATCGCGATCAAGTATTGCGGGCAATTGTACTCTGTCATGCACCAGTATTCCATAGTTAGCTTCTCAGTAGAAAAAGAAGCAGAAAAATCTTCGGGAACACCTTGAACCCAAACCTACCTTTAGCAGTGGGGGCGGGGCCTGGACGAGTGTGCCGGGCGTGGGCCAGAATTCGATGCGGCAGCCGCAATTGCGTCCCAACTTTCGAAATAGGATACTTTCCGAACGTAAGGCAAGCGCTTCATAACATGTGGGCACTAGTCGCTTCAGCGTTACCCGCTCGCTTACAGCGAGTAGCGCTACAAGCCGCCGCTTCGCAACGTACTGCAATTTTCAAAGATGGATGATTCGACTTGCTTACAGAGAAGTGGGAAGGGTTTGACTGATGCACTTGAGAAATTGACAAGAAAAAAAAGAAAAAGAAAGAAAATGACAACAAACCCCACTTGACAACAAATCTCCCTACCACTGGAAAAGCAAGCACTACATTCATAGCAAAAAAAAAACTCTAATGGTTCCGCACTTTCACACATGTTTACAAGCCTGACCGAAGTAAGACCTTTAGCTGAGCTATGAGCCAACTTTGGCAAAATGCCAGTGGGACCGCGGGCTTAAAGGGACGCGCGGGCTTTAAAGGGACGGATGCAGTTCGGGACAGACGCTCTGTCCACCTACCGTCTCCGTGAGCCTAGCGAGCCTTGTCGAAATTGCGATAACTTCCTCATCGCGCGCCATTGATGGATAAAAGCGGGATCATCTTCATCAAGGCGCAGAGGGTTCCAGAAGGCGCGAAGTCATTTTGAAGGCCTCTCGAGCGCGGATACTGTCTTTAAGCCGCAACTGTTATCTGCGTCGCCGCGCGATTACGTGGGCGAGGCCTTACATTTTTCGAGGTCCAATCATGACACCCATTTACCCCTAAGAACGCGTGCATGACTTCAGCAAATCGCGCGATCCTAGGATCGCGGATCTCTAGTGCTGTTACCGGGGTGAAATTCACATCGGGAGGGAAGGGTCATGTTTGTTCTTGTTTTTTGTTCCTGTTCACTTTTCCTTTTCACTTTTTCTTTTCCTTCTTTCTTTCTTCGTTTCATCAAAGCCCTTTTAATGTTAAGGAACTTCGAAATAGTATTGATTGTGTTTCTTTGTATTCCCACTCAATTTTTTTTCAGATTCGGATATTGCAATGTGCGACGATCGCTGTAGGGGTGAGTTTTCTTCTTTCCTTTTGTGGTGGCTATTTTTTTTGATGATCTATTTTCTCATTCATGTTCTTTTGCATGGTCCTTTTTTTCGCCAGTTATTTTCGCAGGCAATTCCCGGGGTGTGTCATTAGGTTCCCGCTTTGGGCACCTATTGTCCAACTTCTGTTATCTGTTCGCCGCATACACCCTCTTTCATATCCTATAAGCCCCGCCCCTGGCTCCGCCTACTTCTCTTTAAAATTTCATTTCCTCCCAAAATTTTTCTACGACATCTCCGGCCCACCCGGAGCATTCATGGGGAGGTGTTCATTTAGGGTCCGCGCGGGCACTACGTGCTCATCATGGGCATTACGTTCCGCCGTGTTCCCCGAGGGGCGTGGTGAAAGGGGGCGTGGGGGCGGACACGGAGAGACGTAATGCCCCATGAAGAGACGTAGTGCCCCGCGCGGACCTAATGACACACCCTGCCAGAATGCTCGGGGTGGGCCGGAGATGTCGTAGAAAAATTTTGGGGAAGAAATGAAATTTTAAAGAGAAGTAGGCGGAGCCAGGGGCGGGGCTTGTAGGATATGAAAGAGGGTGTGGCGGCGAACATAATAACAGAGTGGGACATAGTGCCCCAAAGCGGACCTAATGACACACCCCACGGGGAATTGCCGAAATACTGAAAAAAGGACCATGCAAAAGAACATGAATGAGAAAATAGATCATCAAAAAAAACTATAGCCACAAAAGAAAGAAGTGAAGAACTCCCCCTACAGCTGGATATGTCGCACTGCAAATATCCGAATTCTTGAAAAAAATTGAGTGGGAATTACAACTGAACAACAATCAATACTATCTTCGAATGAAAGTTCCCTTTAATATAAAGCGTCGGTATGAAACATGCGAAGAAAGAAAAGAAGAGAAAAGAAAAAGTGAAAAAGGAAAGTGACCCAGGAACAAAAACGAAGAAAAGCACAAATATAGAGACCCTTCTCCTATCGTGCAGTAGGAATTTTCACCCCGGTAGACTAGTGATCGCGCGATCGCGAAGTCTGAACTGCGCTCTCTAAAGTCGGGATGGCGTGGCGCGAATTTTGTAACTTGTTTTCATTTGAACATGGCATAGGATGGGTTACTTGTGGAAATTTCGATTTGAGACATGAGACAAATGGTCATATTGTCTTGTGCTGGACAATGACATGATTACAGCTGGGCCACAATGAAAGTATGCCAGCAAAACAGCAGCCGTCGCCACGCTGAAGTGAAGTACGTAGCCACGCCTACTACGTAGCCACGCCTACTCTATCTCAGAGAATCGGGACATATGTCCTTGTGGGAATGACGTGCCCGCGACGCTTTTTTCGCCACCCTTGGGAAAGCGGGAAAGGGAGCGTGGTGTCAAACCATCGTTCGGAATGTGTTAATTTTTGAAGCCATGAACCTAGAGGATACCTCAAATAATTCTCTTTATTGCGAAGGGAATTTTTTTTGTAAGCTGGACTAATTCCCATCATTTAGGTCTTTGCTTAGCGTTGACATTACTTATCGCCTGTAGAAATCGCGGTATTGTTACATCTGGTGTATTATTTATCTACTGGTTATTAATGGTCTTATGCGGGCTTCCAGAGTTTCGATTTTTACTAGACCGCTACTTCAAGGTAATAAGTTTATGAATCGTTTTATTTTCATAACTATTCAATTACTTGTTCCAGAACGTGATAGACGACGAGTTTCGATTTTTTATGTACCTTATCTACTACCCTTTGATATGCTTGGAACTGATTCTTTCATGTTTCGCAGACACGCCTTCTGGTGCTTTCATTGGCGTAAGTTTCACTACTATTAGGCGCTCTGTCGGAGGTTAAAGGCCGTGTGAGGGAAAGAGAAAGAGGATGGGAGAAAGGAAAAGAGGAGCGGCAGTGAACGTTCCCCGTAAACAGTAGCGCAACGTCAGTCATCTCGTCTCCATCTATGGGTGTGGCGGCCAATTGGTGGGTGGGGTTTCTATAGCAAACTATGGCTTGTATTTCCTCGCTACTCATTTCCGACCAGGGAAAAGAGTACAACTTCTGACCCCCTATCTATCCAAACGCGAAATGTAACCCTCGGCGGTAAATGCTGATAATTTCATTTGGTATGCGCCACGCACCTGCTTTCGTGCCGAATCATAGCAGAAACGTTTCGTTATCCGACTTAAAATCATATCGTGTCAGATCATGCTGTATTGAACCACAGTCCACGTCCCACGTCCCA